CTTTTGTTATTTCTCAGGGCCAGAACTAAGAGAAGTATTGAATTCTTTTGTTTCAAGATGAAGATAGTTTTTTTCTTTGCTTTTTACTGATTAAAAAGTATTACATTCTCACTGAAAAAAAAAAAAGAAATCAATCCAAAAAAGTTTAAAGGAATAAGTAAGAGTTACCCCTAAATTTCATCACCGAGAGATAGCCTCTGTTGACATTTGCTATTTTTCCCTCTTAATGTGCATACATACACATACACGTATACTTTAAAAAATGGGAATCATTACTCAACAGGATATTCTGTAGCTTGCTTTGTGTAGTGAGCAATAGGGATATCACTTTGTGTCAGGAAATATGGAATATGTGTATTATACTTGCTGGTTGAACATCCCAAATCTGAAAATCCAAAATCCAAAATGCTCCAATGAGCATTTCCTTTGAATGTCATGTTGGCACTCAAAAAGTTTCAGATTTTGGAGCATTTCAGATTTCGGATTTTCAGATTTGGGATGCTCAACCTGTACCACTTCTCCAGCTCTGCTCTGTCTTTTGGTATTTTGTTGAAAACTAGTGTTTTAATTCTTCAAAGATGTAGTGCCAAAGACATGATCAGTTCACAGATTTCAAGTGGTTCTTATCCACATTCTGGCTGATGGTCTCTTTAATTTAGTGAGATGTTACAATAATCTAAAGTATGTCTTGACACAAAGTAAAACTTTCTTTGGTTGACCTGTTTATTAATTTTTTTAAATGTAGTTTTTACGTATCTTGGTGCATCATTATTCTTAACTGAACAGCAACTATAACAGAACCACTAGCTTATTATACTTGACATGGAGACTAGGACAAGGGAGAATAAGCAGGAAGAATTATAAAATATTACCCACTGTGTCTTAAAAGCTTAATGTATAGATGGTTAACATCCATCAAAATAAATTCATCCACTCGTGAATTCCGAGAACTGGTCATGGTTTCTGGCACATGACGTGGAATTACTGAGTTAAGAGCGTAAGTTTGAATCTCATCTACTTCTTATAAAGTTTTTAATCTTGGGAAAACTTTTAGATTGGACTACACAAAAGTTCCAGTTTTGTAGGACAAAATCATAAGAGATTACTATTCTTAAAAGTTAAAATTGAGCAAATATCAGCAATTTCATGATTTAACCTAATACTTAATCTCTTTAAATTTTCATTTCCTCCTCAGTAAAATGGAGATAACGTAATATTCATTATTGGATAGTTGGGATAATTAAGTTAATTTTATACATAGAAAGTGCTTAGCATTGCGCCTGATAGATGGTGACTATTATTGTTCGAACCACTATTATGCCAAAAATGTTAATTGAATGAATCAGTGCATATTAGAATGGAGAATCATTTTAAATTAATGCCATTATTACTCTGATGAAAATAATTTTTTAGAAGTCGGAGTCTGATATTAAAGGATGAAGCTATTGGTGTGCTATAACTACTTTGTAGAATCTTTTAATTGTAATTTTGGTGCATTATAAATACTGCTATTGATTCAGCTATTCTTCCTCTGCTAACTAAATCCATTTCTTAAAAGATTTCTCCTTTGGCAATCTATTTTTCTCTATCATATCTTCTTTTTATTTATCTATTATTTTATTTTATTTTATTTTTACTTCTCAATATACATTGTAGTTGATTTTTGTGACCCTTTCCTGTTCTTCTCTCCCCAACCCCATCTCCCCTCCCCCCGATCATATCTGTCCACTTGCCTTAACAAGTTCAAGGAATTGTTGTGATTGTTGTGTCTTCTCCACCCCCCGCACGCTTTATTTGTTTGTATATTTATTTATCTATTTAATTTTAGCTCCCACAAATAAATGAGAACGTGGTATTTCTCTTTCTGTGCCTGACTTGTTTCACTTAATACAATTTTCTCTAAGTCCATCCATGTTGTTGTGAATGGTAGTATTTCATTCTTTTTTATAGCAGAGTAGTATTCCATTGTGTAGATATACCACAGTTTCCTTATCCACTCATCTGATGATGGACATTTGGGCTGGTTCCAAATCTTGGCTATTGTAAATAGTGCTGCAGTAAACATGGGAATACAGGTATCCCTTTGACATGATGATTTCCATTGCTCTTATTCCCAGCTGTGGAATAGCTGGGTCATATGGTAGATCTATCTGTAATTGTTTGAGGACCTCCATTCCATTTTCCATAAAGGCTGCACCATTTTGCAGTCCCACCAACAGTGTATGAGAGTTCCTTTTTCTCTGCAACCTTGCCAGCATTTATCATTCTCAGTCTTTTGGATGTTAGCCATCCTAACTGGAGTGAAATGGTATCTCAAAGTGGTTTTTATTTGTATTTCATGAATACTGAGTGATGTTGAGTATTATTTCATGTGTCCGTTGGCCATTTGTATATCTTCCTTTGAAAAATGCCATTCAGCTCCTTTGCCCATTTTTAATTGGGTTATTTGCTTTTTTGCTGTAAAGTTGTTTGAGTTATTTGTGTATTTTGGATATTAATCCTTTGTCAGATGTATATTTTGAAAATATTTTCTCCCACTCTGTTGGTTGTCTTTTCACTCTGTTAATTGTTTCTTTTGTTGTGCAGAAGCTCTTTAGTTTGATATAATCCCATTTGTTTATTTTCCCTTTGCTTGTCTGTGCTTTTGGGGTTGTATTCATAAAGTCTGTGTCCAGTCCTACTTCCTGGAGCCTTTTCCCTATGTTTTCTTTAAGGAGTTCTATTGTTTCAGGATGTATATTTAATTCTTTAATCCATTTCAGGTTGATTTTGGTATATGGTGAGAGGTATGGGTCTGATTTCATTCTCCTACATGTGAATATCCAGTTTTCCCAGCACCATTTGCTGAAGAGGCAATCTCTTCCCCAGTGTGTAGACTTGGTGCCTTTGTCAAAGATCAGGTGGCTATAGGTGTATGGATTAATTTCTGAGTTCTATATTATATTCCATTGATCCGTGTGTCTGTTTTTATGCCAGTACCATACTGTTTTGGTTGTTATAGTTTTGTAGTTGGCAGTGATTTTAAATTCAAAATCATTACAGGTTGGTTTTTGCTTAGTACTTTTATTCCTAATTAAGCTATTACTCTGAATGAAAGGAGTAGAAATTACATATATTCAACTCATCTTCCATTTCACAACTAGATGTCAGTGTTAACAGCTGATTAAATGTTTCAGGTGTGATTATAATGAGGTAATTTAAGTGGTTACCTGTATGATGTACAGATCAGAAAATAAATGATAAAGAAGGAAACGAATAAAAATAAACTACTTCCTTGATCTTATTTTTGAAGTTGGCTACTTAATTCTACATTTATACTTTTTAAATAATGATTTTTCCCCCACCTTAGTAACTATGCATGAACAGTTATATTTATTTATTTATTTGTTAGGAAAGTCAGATAGAATGTGAACTTGTACCTTTTCACTACTGCTAACCAGAAGTTCTTTCCCACAGCTTTTTCAGAAAGAGTGATCAGAAAAAGAAGAAAAAGTATTGCTATTTAAATGTGGTGTGTGTGTGTGTGTGTGTGTGTGTGTGTGTGTGTGTGTGTGTGTGAGAGAGAGAGAGAGAGAGAGAGAGAGAGGGAGAGATTGATTCTTGTCTACTTTAATAAGAAGCATACTTCACATCATGAATTAGGTATGTATTCTCAGTGGCATTTCTAGCATCTCACCCAAAAGTTTCTTTTAATATAATTAAATCTGCCTTTTAAAATTCAGTCCTCAGGGCCGACCCATGGCTCACTAGGGAGAGTGCGGCACTGGTAGCGCCAAGGCTGCAGGTTCGGATCCTATATAGGGATGGTCGGTGCAGTCACTGGCTGGGCGTGGTGCAGACCACACTGTGCAGAGGGTTGCGATCCCCTTACCGGTAAAAAAAAAAAAAAAAAAAATCAGTCCTTATAAATGGAAGCATGATAATCCTTATCCTTTTCTTATAGATCCAATATGACCTTTTAAAATAATTTATGTTGTGTTTCTCTAACTAGCGTGCCTTTTAAATTTTATTTTGTTTTGTTTTGTTTTTTGTGACCAGTAAGGGGATCGTAACCCTTGGCTTGGTGTTGTCTGCACCNGCGACACTGAGGGTTGCGATCCGTTGCCGGGCATGAAAAAAGACAAAAAGACAAAAAAAAAAAAAAAGAACAACTATTTGGAGCTACTATGTAATATTATAATGTTTTCTCTGATGATTGTCTTAAGAAGTCTCAAATACTGTTAATTTTAAAACTCTTTACATTTTCTCCTGATTTGGGACAGGGTGTACACCTAATTGGTTTTGTTCATATTTTGGGGAAGAGGGTGGTAATTGAAGAATACAGCAGCAGCAACAATTACAGAGTTCAAATTTCGACTGCCATTAAAGAGTATGTTAAAATTCTTTGAATCTGAAAGCATTTTGAAAATGCTTTTCCTTAACAGCAGGAAGACAGATTTTAATTATCTCCTTTGTTCTTCTCAAATGCTTTCCCAGTCTGTCAAAATTTAAAATTTTGGGTCTGTGAACCTTTTACATTTGGACACCAATTGATTGTTCACCTCATTAAAAAACTCATCTAAGCTTTAAGTGGATGAATTATATGGTATGATAATTATATCTCAATAAAGCTATTATTAAAAAAAAGAAACACAAAACTTACCTAACAGCATTTTCAGTGGTATTGTAAAGGCTGTTTCTGGTTTGTTTTAACTTAGGAAAACTTGCTCTTCAACACATAAGCATATATCTTAATGAGGGAGGGAAGCAAATATAAGAGGGAATGACTAAAACATTTAGCATGGAATGGTGTTAGAGAGATGAAGCAGAAGTACATGTTTAAGATTCTACCACATGCCTGGCTCCTCTTGGCATGGTCCTCCATTGACAGTCTGAGATCTGACTAGGTAACTGAGTAAGTAGGAAAGGTACTACTAAGTTCCACTATATTGACTTCTCTCTATAATGAACAGACTGATGGTAAGGACTTTCTTTTCAAGGTATTCCATTTCTCATTACAGAAAGCTGTATACCTGCACAAGTGGTGGCTGCCATTGATGTAAACACTGTTGCTAATGAAGTATACAAGTTTAATTTTCCCCACACACAGTTACTGGCCAAGACAATTGAAGTGAGTACTTACTATTATTATTTTAATACATATATAGGAAAGGAAAATGTGGTTGAAAAACACTGCCAAATACTGGTTTCTGGTGGCTTAATTGGAAGATAAGTCATATATAAATAAAAATTTTAAAAGAAGGGAATTAGTTTTAAATTCTATCAGAAGATATCATGATTTTTTTTTTTTTTAATTTTCAGCTGTAGAGAGAAAGATGAGTATTTTAGGCTTTGAGAGAAAGGATTGAAATATAAGAATATGCTTGACTTCTGAATGCTTGATTCTGTGGTGATATTAAACTTTGTTTAATTCTTTACTTGTAATCACTAGTAGTACAATATATATAGCATGTGGTAAATAGAAGGGAGGCAGTCATTGGCTATTACTTATAGAATGCTTCTTACTTTAGCAAGCTTGTCAAAGTTAGCCTATTTCACTGTGATAAACTCAAAAGTATTTAAGACTGATGTACACTGAGTTATTTAAAAAATAATATGAAATTGTTTTTTTCTTCCAATTTCTTGTGATGAAAAATTTTACACAGATTTTTCATGAAGATGTAATTTATATACAATAAACTGCATCCGCTTTAAGTGTGCAGGTTGTTTTGACCATTACATCAAATGTGTAATAACCACAATCAAGACTTAGAACATTTCCACCATGTGAAATCATTCCTAAGTGCCCCATTTTAGTCAGTCTCCAACCCCAACCCCAAGTAATCACTGATTTGCATTCTTTCATTATAGATTAAATTTTCCCTTTGTAATATATCATAAATAAAATCATAAGAATGTAAGTATTTTGAGTGTAACAGCTTATTTTAGCATTTGATGATTTTGAAATTCATGGATGTTATTGTGTATTTTTGGTAATTTGCTCTTTTTTATTGCTGAGTAATATTCTGTACAATGGAGTATTACACACTACAATATATTTATCTATTCTATGATGTTAGACATTTAAGTGGTGTTTGTAAGAACAGAGACAATCTGCTTTCCTACATCTTTTTATTTTATTTTTATTAAGATGTAGTTAACAAATAAAAATCATATATATTTATTGTACACAACATGATGTTTTGATATATGTATAACATTGTGAAATGGTTAAATCAGGCTAATTAAAATATCTATCACCTTACATTTTTATAATTTTTTGTGAGAACAGTTAAGATCTACTCTCAGCAATTTTAATTTTCAAGTATATAATATATTATTCTGAACTATCGTCACCATACTTATAATAGATCTCCCAAACTTATTCCTCCTTTCTGACTGAAACTTTCTACTCTTTGCCAATATCTCCCCATCCCTACACCCCACCCCCACCTGTACTTTTGTCCCCTGCCAGCTTCCATTTTGCTCTCTGCTTCTATGAATTCGACATTTTTAGATTCCACATGTAAGTGAGATCCACAGTATTTGTCTGTCTGTGCCTGGCTTATTTCACTTAGCACAATGTCCTCCGGGTTCATCCATGTTGTTACAAATAACAGGATTTTCTACATTTGTTAATCTCTCCCTTGAGATTCCCTTTAGCCCTGTCGTCTATGATGAGTTCCGAAGTGGAAAGATTGTATTGTGTCTAGGCCAAATACTTAGGAACTACCTTAAGGGTCATGTTTAAAAAGGGGATATAAAGTTAATGGAGAATTTAGGAGTAATGCAAGGCTTTAGGAATTTTCAGTTTAAGACAACAACATATAACAATCATTTGAGCATTTACTTCATGCAAGGCACTGAGTCTTTAGAAAGAACATAAATACGACTAAAATACAGTGTTTGCCTTCAAGAAACTTACTTTCTAGTGCAGAAGTTGGATTGATAAACAGTTTTCTTTGGGACTTCTGATTGAATGTAGCATAATAAAGATACTTTTATTCCAAAACTATTCCTTTTCCTAATAGAAATAAGAAAAATAAGAGAAAAGATTGATGAAAAACGATTATTAATGAAAATAAAGACTTAGCCATAAGCCAAAACAAAAAGGAAAACTGTGAAGAATAATGTCAAATTCTGCAGAAAAATAGGTTAAAATTGAAGGAGGGTGACAGAATTGTGTGCAAACATCTACATATCTTGTACAGAATCAAAAAGGAAAGAATGAGAAAGGAGAAGAGAAACATATATGCAGTAATTGTTTGTCAGTGGCTGTTCAAAGTCAACAGAAGAGGCATTTAAAAAAACCCAAATCACTAAACTGAAAGCTTCATTGCAATTTGTAAACTTCCTGCTCATCCTAAATGTGAGAGCCTAGATTAGGGACAGAGGCATACCCTTAGGTGAAATGACGCAGCAGGTTTTTACCAGCAACAGTGTGGTGACAAAATACCTGAATAGAAGCTGCTTCTGCTTGAGCTCATCTTGTAGCAAACTCTAGATTCAAGTGACCTCCATTAAAAAAGGAATAATAATTAGAAAGGAACCAGTTTGAGGCTATATTTAGATAGTATTTTTTAAAGGAAGTAAGAAACATAAACAAAAAACCAGAATATACAACAGAAAAAATGATGTTAAGAAGCAGAAGAAAATTTCAAACAAATATATTTTCATGACATTAAGTAAAACATGATATCTTCACAAGAACTCAATAAAATAAATATATACAACAGCTCAAAAGACAGTGATAAGGCAGTAGGACTTGGAAAGTATCAGAGGTCTAGAAAAAAAAAAGAATAATAAAACCATGATAGAAATGAAAGTATGTCAGAATAACAAAATGTAAGATGGATGGTGCTGCAAACAGGGTCTTGAATGATGGAGCTTGAAAAAAAAAATAAAGCAAAATAAAATGGAAAATACAGAGTAGAGTGTTACAGAGTAAATGA